ACTAGAATCAAATTCGGATCTTTCCCTGGAGGTCTGCCCCAGACGCATGTACTCTGTCATCGAAGAAATCCATGGCCTCCAGGCAGGATCTGGACATGAGATTCCTACAGGGTTGCATCGTAGTGCATATAATATGCATCTGAGAGGCACATTGCCCATGACATATGTTCTCTTCAAAGTCTTTGACCCATAGCCGCCCATCCAACTGGGATGACACTGCAATTCGAGTTATATATATTTATAATTGCACAGCATTCCACACATGGCTTTCAGCATGCATGCAGCGAAGCCACAAGCGTGCAACAGAACCGGCTGGGAAGCCAAAACCAAATCTGTTGACTTGCAGCAGGAACTTTACGAAGGGCAAACGTAAGAGCAGGCTGCTGCCTGGCTGTTCAGCTCCCCACAGCACTTGCCTTATGATTGCAAGGACCATTCCCAAGGCCCAACGGCAGGCAATCATGTTGCCCTCTTTAGTCACCTGCTTGCTGTCGTCTCCCAGCGGCTCTTGCTGTGTTCTCCCAGTGCTGCTCCTCGAAACCCAAACAAAAGTCGAACACGGTACCCCTGCGAAAACCAGAGCACCGACACGGCACCGGAGAATATACTGTAAGAAGACCATAAACCCAGTCCTCGGGTGTAGCATGTAGCTTCAAGCTGCATTCGAAGCGATTCGAAAGATTCCGAAATCTGTCCTAGACTGCAGACCAAGCCTCGTACTGGTGATGTCGTGCTTTGCAGCATCTTTATTCTTGTCATAGACGGATGCCCTGAGACCCTCCCGGCCTTAGGATTGCAAAGTGGCCTTTGTGTTCTACTTGCATTAGAATTTATAAGTGGGGGTTTCGTTGAGGACTCGACGGGCATTATAGAAGATGCCTCCATAGCCAGAGAACATGTCCAGGACGTCGATGTCCTGAGCATTGCAGGCTTGCTTCTGGCCCACAACAAGCAGGGCCTTCGGGCAGGATTCAGGGGATACATGTATAATAGTGTTTGGGATTGCCTGAATTTCACAGTTTGCATGATTCTAGATGATCTGTTCGGTTCAGGCACTTACACACTCCAAGGGTTTAGGGTTTCGGCTTTTAGGGTTTAGGGTTTTAGGGTTTAGGGATACTAATAACCATCATACTGTTAAGGGCTTGGGGCCTGGGTTGTTTAGCTCAGGTTTGGGCAAGAAACTTGGGAAGCAGCGGCTGAGGAGCTTAGGCTGAGGGGTTCGGTGTCGGGCTTAAGTTTCGGCATCTGGTCTAGGCTCAGGGTCGTCGTCGCAGTAGTTGTAGTAGTGGTAGTAGTAGGAGTAGTAGTTGTTGATGTTGTTGTACTTGTACTACTAGTGCTACTGCTACGGCCACTACTACTACTACTACTACTACTACGACTACTACTACTACTACTACTACTACTACTATTACTACTACTACTACTAGTACTACTACTACTTCTGCTCCTGCTGCTGCTGGTGCTAGTAGAAGTAGTAGTAGTAGTAGTAGTAGTAGTAGTAGCTACTACTACTACTACTACTACTACAACTACTACTACTACTACTACTAATACTACTACTACTACTACTCCTGCTGCTACTACTAGTACTACTACTACTCCTACTACTACTACTACTACTACTACTACTGCTACTACTACTCCTGCTGCTACTGGTAGTGGTACAACAACTACTACTGCTGCTGCTGCTGCTGCTACTATTACTACTACGACGACGACTACACTACTACATATACTGTCCACATTTGATGGCCAGGCTCTCGAGTGAACCGCTTGTTGCTCACCTGGCTGATGTAGTCGATGGCGTGGATCCTGAGAGGGGCAAGGCCCAGACCATGAAGTCAGGAGCATACAGCCTTCCGAACATTAAAATATTCCTGTTTATTTCTTGCCCGGATTCCCTTTGGGGTGGTGGCAGTAGCAGTAGATATTGGTACTAGTAGTACTAGTGTTACGTTGGTACTACTAGTACTTGTGGTATTAGCCGCAGCAACAGCAGCAGCAGCAGCAGCAGCAGTAGTAGTCGTAGTCGTAGTCGTCGTCGTCGTCGTCGTAGTCGTAGTCGTAGTAGTTGTTGTTGTAGCACTAGGCAGCAGCAGCAGCAGCACCAACAGTAGTAGTCGTGTAGTAGTAGTAGTAGTAGTAGTAGGAGTACTAGTAGGCAAGCCCCGACCCGTGACAGCTAGTTCCCGAACCGCGAACATGAGCTTAAAACTTCAGCTTGGTTGCAGGATGCACGGTACATGTAGATGGCACAGCAGTTGCAGCTGCTGCTCGGACAATGCAAGATGCCTTACCATCGCGAAGCTGTGTAACACGGCAGAATCCTGAAAAGCGGCATGTAGCTCCAGAGATCAAGCTACCTGCATGCTGTTCTATCTCGATCATACAACTTTTGCACATGGCATGATAGCCAAGAGTTCGGGAAGACTTCATGGTTCGAGCCTGCAGGGTCTAACAGATCATGCGGAGAGATTCACGATTGCGACTCATGGCATTTGCAATGCATAGATCATCGACGGGTTTAGGGTTTAGGGTTTAGGGGTTTAGGGTTTAGTGCATGGATCACATTTCTCCCGCCACCCCAAATCAGCGGTTGTCCTTGAAAGCTTGCTCAGCCACACACAGCAGCATGATCTTGCAGCATGCGGCATGCGGCATAAAAAGCCTGTGGCTGCGACGACGTCCAGTGCAGATCGTGCCGGGCGCATATACATTTACACAAGTATATCTGGTGAAGCCCTAGGCCCCAGGCCTTCTTAAGCCTAATCCTGAATTTATTAAGTTGGTGCTGGGTCGGGTTTCCCAGCTCACCCAGTAGAAACCAGCTGGAGCGGTATGGATCGGTCTGGAAGGGTTGGGTTTCGGTGGTGGGAAGCCATTGGGGGCACAGGACCTGAAGATGTCCATTGTCTGAACTGCTCCTCCATTCCGCTTCAAAAAAAGTTGAGCAGTCGACCACATGCCGTTTTGTGGGCATGTCAGTCGTCAGTTCAACAGTTCAACATCGCTTGTTCAAGTTCCACAGGGAACGACCATAGCTATCGTTGTTTTCACCCGTTTCACCGTTTCACCTAGCAGGCTTGCAAGCAATTTGGCTCAAACCACGGCGTGATACAGCGTCCTTCTGCAAGCTGTGATGCTTTGCAAGGCCTCGGCCTAAGCAAGGAGACCAGCAAGGTCCGCAACAGTACCCAGATCCTCCGTGACAGTTGTTTGACAGAGTCTCACCAGATGCGTGCCCCCCTGTGTGGGGAGGAACAAGAAAAAAAACATATGAACTGCAATCCCTAAACCCTAAACTAAACCTTGCATTTTTCGTACCTTATAATCCCTAAACGGCCCTAATCAGCTTAAGCGTCGGGTTTGTTTTTGGGCTTCTGCGAAACTCACGATTCAGATGTGGTGATCACACTCTTTCCCGCATCACTGCCGAATGCCTGAGTTCCTTAGAAAACTACACCATTATTTTATCATCTTCGCTAATGCGCCCTAAGCCCGAAGCCTAACCAACCCGAGTCTGCCAAGTGCCAAGTGAGAGCAACACGTTGCGAGCCTCGCGAGCTGCGATCGACGATCAAGGACCTGAATCAAGGACTAACGGTTTGCAAGTGGCGTGATCCGTTGAGTTTAGGAGGAGAAGGTTTAAATGAAATGTGTGTCACTGTGTGTCCGTGTGTCCAGAGTCCAGCAAGACGGCACCTTCCCCCAAAACTGCCCCAAACCCCAAACCCCAAACCACGTGCTCCTTTGTAAACAGGCCTTATAAGCATCCCGGTCCCTAAATATGCCCAAAAAAGCAAAACCGAACAGCATTGATGGCAGCCAGCTTTGCAATGGCGTGTTTTGTAGCTTGGTTCGTATCAGAAAAGCTTGGAGGGAAAGCAGTACCGGCTCAGCTGCTGACACGGTGGCTGAGAGATGAGGAGCTGGCCGCTGCAGATGCCAACATTTCCCATGTTTTGGGCATTGTGCATTTGGAAGCTGACTTTGCGTATGATGCTTCTATAATTCTGACAACAGGGCAGAACACACAAAGGATGTATTGGAAGAGTTTGGGCATTCAGGATGCTAGCTTGTGGTTTTATAAGATCCGAAGTGCAGCGTGCTTTCCTGAACCGTTGCCAGCTCGGCAAGCTCTTCGGCATGGAGCAGTGCGAGTCTACGATGTCGTTTCTGAGGATATCGGCGCGGAGCTTTGCTTGAACTTGGAGCCTTTGCCCGACTGGCTTCCAGCAAACGGCCAGCCTAGATTGGTTATTTCAGTGCCAGCTCGGTTTGCTACCTTGTTTACCAGCAATCGATGGTGTCAGTTGGCATTACCGTCCCCTTTTGCACAGGGTCCCTGGCGTGTTGCAGCTTGGAAGCTTCGTGTCATGGGCCCTTTGTTTATAGATGCTTTCCAGGACAGGCTGGCAGTGCAGGCAGGGGAGGCTGTTGATGAACTCAACTTGACCTCTTTGTTTTCTTTGGCTGATTGTCAAGATCTGGCAGACGATCTTCGAGGTCTGATGAGTAAAGTTCCTGAGGAAGATCGTGGCATGTTGTGTTCATGGGTCAGGCAGTTGCAGAACACACATGATGACATTTCTTTGCCTGCAGCCGCCAAGTCAGCAAAGTTTCATCGTTTGATTGATTTCGTGTTTCTGTGTGAGACACTGCGGAGTGTGCGGCATGCCAAAGAATCTATTGTGAAAGCTTTGGAGATGACACTTCCAGAGTCCCTCCTGAAGGTAGCAAAGCAACAGTTGGCACAGCAGCGTATGTACGACAAGAGCCAGATTTCACGGTTCCGGGTGGTTTTAGATGCAGCTTTCATGGTTTGGAGAAGATCAAATTCGTGGCAACAGTTGCAACGGCAAGGTGCAGCATCTAGGACACACCGGTACTTGATGTGGGATGCTTCGCCCCAGTTTTCTCGCGAGTACGAAATGATTCGTGTGATCAGTATTCCCGAGCAGGAATCCCCAGACTTGTATCACTCTTTCCTGGAGATGTCGTCGTTATGGCTGAATGATGCAGGCGACTTGGATGATCAGAAACTGCAGGACCAGACAATTGCAGAAACAGAAGTCAAGCTGATGCAGCGCTTGTCCCCGGTTTGCACGCCTCACATTTATCCTTCCGTTCTGCTGGCTTTTGGTGGAACGACACTGGCTCATAAGTTTCATGCACTCATGCATGCATTTCGATTGGAAGTCTTCACAAACAAAGCGTTGGCCACCTTGTGCTCGGAGTTGACGAGCGTCACTGCAGATTTCGGAGTGGAGCACATGCTAGGGCAGATCGGAGCTGTGCCAGTGTCAAGCATTTGCCAGTGGTTCTCAGATACAGACGATGCGACAATCAGCCGCATCGTGCACAGTGTCCTCGCACTTGAGCGTGATGGGAGTGCTGCGGCTTTCGAAGACCCAAACGTAGCAGCTAGCAACCCCAACGATCTTGTGAATCTTGCCCCGGATGTAGGCGGGTTGGGTGTAGGTTTTGATGAAGTCGACATTAACATTGATCCAGTGCCTTTGGATGTGGATGCAGATGCAGCCCCAGCCCCAGCACAGGCAATCGTGTTTGAGGAGCCTCCGCCTGAGCCTTGCATAGACTTGGCTGCCATGCTCAGTATTCCAGGCATCCACCATGTTGTGGACAATGCTGTCAATGGGCTGGATGCTGCGATGGAGTCTTATTCTCATTTCTTGAAGCTGTCAGTAAGCGTCTGCAAGTTCTTGCGACGGTCTGCATCCCGAGAAGTGCTGATTGCTCGTTGCTTCAGTAGTCCGGTAGGCCTGCAGTTTGTCGAAGGCATCAAGAATTTCAAGGGCGCCGTCTTTCCTGGTAGGTGGGGTACGATAGCATTCTCAATCCCTCACCTTTTGGCAGTGGAGAGGGGCTTGCGATGGGGATGGGATAAGGGCAGGTTCTTGAGGGACGAGGCCGGCAATGTTCAAAGCAGCTCTTCGCTGGTTGATGAAGTGGATGAAGCCCTCTCTTCACCTGTCTGGTGGGCCTGGTTGCGAATGCTTGAGCTTCTGGTTTCCATCTTAAGGCATGCCATCGGCTGGGTTGAAACTTGTCCGTGCCACGGAGGAATCTCTCGCTTGCAAGGGGTTCCTGAAGCAACACGGTCGCGCTGGCGGAAGTGCCCCATGAGAGGACTGCGAGCGGCTGAATTGTGCAACGGAGAACTACTTCAAGTCATTGGCAGGTTAGGCGAGAGGGGTGCAGCAATGGTTTTGCAACAATTTCCAGCCGACATAACACGTGAGCAGCGGGCATCCCTTCTGCAGGAGTTTTCGGCTGGCCGTGCACATTTATGTTTCTACTTGGCTTTGAAGCTTTCTGCAATGGAGGAGTTTCCTTGGCGTTTGTGTGCACTGTCGCATCAGAGGATAGAGGTGGCTCATCAAGCCTTGCGTGAGGCTCTCGCATCCGACAATCCCCACCCGAAGGTCCGAGCTCTGCAGGGCCCTTTGTTGAGGCCGTTGGCGGCAAGATGGCTGGCAGGTGAATCGTTAAAAGGTCCTGGCATGTTTCCTTTATCTGCATTTGTGTCAGAGCTTCGCTTCATTCCTCTTAACGAAAGACCGGTGGAAGCACTGCATCGGCAAACCAAGCTCAGTGGTCGCAGCAGGCCATCCCATTCAGTGCCATTGATATCTCTCATGCAGCGGATGCCAGAAATCAAGCAACTGCTCCAGGACAGGCCCACTCTTGTGCACGATTTGTCAAGCCTGTGTCATGAGTTGCGCAACAATAAGCTCTGTGTTGCTGCCCTAGGCTTGCATAGCCACCCGTCAGTTGAGAGTGTGCAAACGAGACGTAACAGCTTTCGACATCCACTGCTTGCCCGCATCATCTACCATGCAGATCCCCACACTCTGTACGTAGCAGCCCCGCCTATCCTTCCGAACAGACCTGATCAGCCTGATCAGCCAAGCCTACGTGATGGGGATGGTGGTGGTGGAGATGGAGCTAATGCTGGTGGTTCCAGTCCCAGACACGATGCTGGGAACCCAGGACCTGGTGTCGACGATGCAGAGTCTCCCTTGAACAGCCGTCACAGTCAGGACGAGGGGGATATGAGCGGGCAGGAAGAGGATGCTGTTGATGCTGCTTTGAAGGTGCTGAACGAGCCGAGAGTGCAAGCAGGCTCCCTGGAAAGTGTTGTGCAGAACCACACTAGTGCGTCAGCAGGGTTGCTTCGTCGGTACATGCTCGAGCGTATCTACAGTGTGTTGTCCGATCGTGATGGAACAACAGGTATGGGGGTTGGAATGTTCTTGTCACTGCCCTTTCCTATGTCACGTATGCGCAGCTTGTCTTCTGCACTTGGATCCCAAACGGCAGCGGCAGCAGGATGTTTCCAAGCAGGCCACGACGTTGAGTTGGAAGCCATGCCAGCCGATGAAGGTGAGATTCTTTCTGTTGCAAGAGAGGCCACCTTGGCAAGATGGGAGGGGTTCACCGAGAAGGCTCGATCGCTGTTGTTCTTCCAGGTGGTGAGATCAAATCCGATTTCGTTGAAACGGTCAAAAGTCTTCAAAGAGTCGGGGTTTGTGTCTGGTGACATGGTCGTCGCTCCCCACAAGCTGTGCAGCATCAATCCTCGTGAAAGGCATGTCCATGTGGAGGCGACCTCTCTTCACATCCCCGGCCCAGTCGCTGGCCAGAGCGCAGTCCTCAGCATGAACTCGTTGGAGCCAAGTGCACTCATCGAACTTCGTCTGTGGGAAAAGCGGGAGACATTGCACTATGCAATCAAGCGGGAATTGCTGCCGGATGGGCACGGCCTGTCCGCGGACTGCTTCGAGGCAATGTCGATTCTGTTGGATGAAATGCTATCCAGCGAGAAAGGGGTGAACCAAAGGTTTTGGCGACTGGCGTCAGAGCGGAAGCAGGTGCTGGAGTTTTTTCGCCTGCAGGAGTGGGCTTTGCAGAACGATGTAGCTCGGCTGCATCTCCCGTGCTGAGATGCAAATCGCAGTTCAAGGGATTTGACATTTGGGGTAAGAGTCAACTCCATAAAACACTTGGGGACCCTTCCTAGACCTGAAGGTACCTTTGGGCCCTGCAAGGGTTCTACGGCATTCACGTGTCTCAGAAGTAGGATAGGAGTACGATCTAAGACTAAGATCAAGCTTCCAGTTGAATCCTCCTGACAATGCAATCCTGTGAGTTGATGACCCCAACTTTCGTGGCGGGTATATTTTCCCTCGACTGTTGGGGTCTAGTGGGGTTCAGGCAAGGGATGCAGGTCCAGGCGTGTCGAGTCTTTTCCAAGGCTGGTTTGTGGCAGCTCACACCGCTTGGCAGAGCAGCTGTGGAAGTTCGTCTTTGTCTACATTCGCCACGACCGATCCTGACATTTCGTAAAGATATTCCTCCTGAGGAGTTGTCGACTTGGGAGATTATTGTTTCCATGGATGCTGCAAACTTTAGACACATGGTGAAGGACCGCAGCAAAAACGACATCCCGTATGATCCAACAGCTGCTGGAGAGAAAGTTTGGTACACGAAGCCAAGCGAACGCTCTGTGTGTCGGGAATACCTCCTTGCACTATTGCGAGGAGATTTGGTTGTGCCGCATTGGAAGCCGACAGCTTTTTACAAATGTCTACTGGATGGACTTGAGTACGAACCACCTGTGAAACACCTGAAGCTTCAGCTTCAGGACGATTGGGACCCAGACGACATGCATGCAGGTGCGGTGTCCAAGCCGCTCAAAGCATCCAAGCCTTCTAGAAAGCGTGCAGTGCGGCAATTGGAGAACGAGGATGATGAGTGTGTCGATGCTGATTCTTTGGCTTCGCNNCTGAGCAGATGTCATCCTCGTCAAGTAGCAGAAGCAGCTCCAGCAGTACAAGCAGTTCTAGCGATTCTAGTGAGTCAGCCGAAAGGAGCCCCAGCCAAGTGGCTGCCTCTGATCCGGAGAGCGACGATGCTCCGGTGCGTCGGCGTGGGCAGCACAAGGGTGAAGCTTGGGGTGTTTTTCGATTGACAGCTTTCAACAAGAAAGGCGGTGGTACTGGTTTCCAGATGACGTGCAGCCACCCAAAACATCAAGGCAGGACTGCGGCTTGCACGAAATCTCGGTCGAACAGATTTGCAGGTGGTGACGATGCCTGCATTCGAATGCTGAAACAGTGGGCACTTGCCGGTGCATCCCTTGCAAGCAAGCGACAACATCAAGCAGTTTGGAACGATGTCATGCAGGCTTACAATTCGTCGAGTCTGCGTTCCATGGATGACCTTGACAGCCATGCCATCACGAGCTGGGCGAATCTTGAAGGGCAGCCCTCAACTGGTGCAATTGCATCATCTTCAGCAGGTCGTCCTGCAACTGCTTCGAGAGATTCTGCAAGTGCGGCTGCCTCTTCAGCCCAAGCAAAGGCGGCTCCTGAGAAAAGGAGGCGCAAGAAGTAGTTTGTGCCAATCGAGCGTGTGCCGCCAGGGTGTTGGAAAAGTCAATCGTCCTCTTCTTTGAGCCTTTTGCATGTTCGTCGGAGCTGGCTGTTGTTTGATGCATGTGACTCGCAGCAGCTTGTGTGTGGATGGAAGCATGCAGCTCAGCCCTTGACTGCACGTGCGGGCCGGCTTGAGCTCAGGTGCAAAGACATTACAACCATGTGTCATGCCGATTGCTATAGCTTCAAAGTTGTAACGGTGAAGTGTAGTGTAGAATTTGCAAAGCAGGAAAGCACTTTGGAATTTTTACCAGTCACAAGGCCAGCGTAGGCTTCGAGATGCGTCGAGGCTTGGTGTGCAGCAAAAGAGCAGCAGCAGACTTGATCAGTATATCATACCCACCAGCTGCAGGAAGGCCGCTCAGCGATTCGGATGTTGCACTTCTGATGCAGCGGTCTTCGTGCAGGACCCAGAGCGGCTAGCAAGACAGGTGCAACAGATTTGATCATGAGGATAGAAACACACTGACATGTTAACCTGCCACATGTTTACATTACTTGTGAGCATTGAAGCTTGTACTTGTAAGCATTGCAGTTGGTTTTTTATTTTGTGTTTGAAGTTTGAATCATGTCATTTTGTTTTGAAACTTGGTGCTAGACAGCAGCACACAAACAAGCGGAGAGAGTCTATGC